GTTATCTCCGAGTTCTACTCTAGAAACTATGAAATAACGAAAGTGGAGAAAATTTTTTAAAGGGTTTGAATGGACGAGAATATCTTGCAGTCATTGATTGACGCAATTTTTTAACGTGGTAGTGGTGTCGGTGTTAAATGTCGACACGTCTAACGAAACGTGGTACACAGCATTTCAATCACAATTATAAAGAAATCCCATAAGCTCTGTTGTTCAATCATAATTTTGCTATGTAAATAATAAAACGCAAATAAAAAAAAGTAAACAAACAATAAAGACCGACTGGCATTGGTTTTAAAAGATTAAAAAAATTTATACTTTGAACTCAGTCATTACTCAGGATAATTATGTCACAATTAAACACATTCACGTATTGAAATCATCGAAATAATTGGTAATGAGACTATACAAACTTACTGGTTCACGGTAATTTTGCGCAAATTGTGTGAATAAGCCCCTGAACTTACATCCATAGTTCTAATTTTCTCTTGTTTCCTTTTTTTTGGACATGGATTTGAATATCAAAGAATTTCTAATTTAACGTAATAAAAGAAACAATTATGCTAAACTTTTATATTTTATTGTGTCTATTGTGTCTATAGGCGTAACTCGTCATACCATCTTTGTGTTTGTAACGCTTGTCATCAAAACAAGGAAAAGACACTTTATTGAGTTCATAACTACCAAGCTGATGGTTTTCACTTCTGATGGTTTTCATTTTGTGACACATCTGCTTCTTTGTCGAATAAGGTATTCTCATCATCGACATGTTTGATGTCTTTATATATCACATTTTTCATTGGCAGTCTTGTTGCTTTTGTCGTCGTCTTTCACATAGCTGTACATCTTCGATCGCAAACCGATAAACTCAGTTATGGGAATACCTGCTGCTTTGTACTTACCGATAGCATCCTTATTGGTTTTGTTGCAATATTGTGATTTTTCATTATAACCACTGCTGTCGAATTTGTCTTTATCAAGCCAGAAGTCTTTGTAAACATCTTCTGCATCTATTTCATATGTTAAACAGTCGATGTCTGTGAATAATAATTTCCCTCCGTTGTCATACTTCTGTTTGATATAATTACGGTGAAAATCGTACATCAACGTTTTCGATAGATCAAGGATGCACATTCCCACTTATGCTGGCCTGTTGAGAGTTAGAGTTTCCTTGATTTTGTGTACAACAACGAGATTAATGTACTGTTCATCTCAAATATGTTCATTGTTGAGTATACTGTAGAAATCTCCTTTTGCAGGTAACTCTGTCTCACTGAGCTTGTGAGTTGTCCATGTAATCATATGGATGTACACCTTTCTGTTTCATCAAATTGAACCTCTTTGAAGAACCGAATTCTTGTTTTGTATAACTGAAGGCTTCGTCAGGCAGATTGATGACTGCTTGACATAAATTAAATTGAAAACTGTCTCTAGAAACCAAATGTGATCAAGTATTAATGCTAATACTTATCCATGTTATTCGGAATAACATTGATATTTGTATCATCTGCGACTTTTCCAAAACTGCTTGAGGTAAATTGAAAACTGTCGATAAATACCAAATGTTGACCAAACATAAATGCTGAATATTTCTCCATGTTATTCGCAATAACATTAATATCCGTATCATCTGCAACTTTTCCTATCTCCAGCAATATTATAAGACTATCATAACCTCTTAGATTATGGAATAGAGCAGGTATTTTCATATTTTTAACATGAATATTCAGTTTCAGACTACAATGTTGATGTGCAGATCCTCTATATTTTCCTGTGAATTGACAATGATCTCTAACTCTAGTATCATCTTCATTTTACGATCGCTCACAGATGTGACAATATTCTGCTTTTTTGAAGTTCTTCTCATCTTCTGTTTTCAATTTTAGTGACCTATTAAATTCCTCAAAGACTGTTCTTCTACAATATGAGACTTCGTTCAACATCTCTTTTAGAAACTTATTAACAGCATTTCTGCCTCTGTAATATCGTATTGGAACACTATGTTTGCCATTGTAGTAACGGACAATCTTATAACCATAACCGCGATCAGTATGTTTTTAATAGGCTTCAGTGTATGAATTATCAGTTGCTGGTGTACGTACTCGAGCTGCTCTTTTCTGTGATAGCTTCGAAATCTGCATAGGTGACAAATGGAATGCTTGTTGTCTATGATAATTATTGAACTTGACTTGTTCACCTTTCTTAGGCATCTTCAAAGCTTGCTCACCGTTGGTTATGATACAATTGTCCTTGTGATTGTTAAACATTTCTTCTGAACTGAAACATTGCAGACAGTGCATCTAGAAATAATTTTTATTTTTTTTATTTGTCTGATCGAACAGCAGCTTATTAAAATCTTTTTTCAGAACATAATGATAATTTTCATTTCCTGATATCAACAAGAGATTCATAACAATTTTTTCTTTCGCGATATAGATAGGAAATAGTTGTTTATTCTCATAACCAAAGACGTTGATATTGATACAATTTTGGTTTTCGATTTTATTGTGATCTTTTACCGATACTGGAAATGTTGTAATTATATAATCTAATTTGTCAACATATTTTTTTTATCATTTTTATCAATCCTCTGAGGAATTTTGTCTTGTGGATTCAAGTGTCTGATATGACACCACTGGAAACATTGATCGTATTTACTGTTAAGGTTTATAACAGCTTTTTTCACACTCATTTCTTTCGGCTGTGTAATATAAGATGAGCCCTTGAAAGGCTTGTAAAAAACAATATTCAAGTGATGATTGTCAATAGCTTTGACTGTCCAACCTGATCTTTCTGAGATCCAGCTGACTATCTTGTTTATAATCTCTCGTCTTGACAATGAAAGACCATTTTTAATGCAACTTCATAAGCATTGATCACTGTTTTTGGAAAACTGTTCAAATATTCTGTCTTCACGATAACCTTTTGTGCTCAGGGCTCCCATTGATACAGAAAGAATTTTGCATCTGAAGGGGCTACCCTGAGCGGTATAAATCAATAAAGGTTCTTCTTCTTCTTCGGTCATCATATCAGATTTCAAAGACACTGTTTGAACAAATTTCAATCCTTTCAATACCACTAAGTCGTTAGCGATCTTTCTTTCTTCAACGCTGCCTTTGTTTTGTTTAACCGTTTTTTCATACGATTTTGTATAACCTTTCAGAGCCTCTTTCTTCTCTTGAATTACAGTTCTAATTGTTAACGTTGGTTTTGGTGTTTTTTTTCAATGCTGGTTAACATCTTGTATTTTGGATTTGTATCTTTCCATGATTTGACTGATTTTTTTTCTGATATCTATGACTTTCTGTAGTCTTGGAACCGCTTTTTGTTTTTTTTTGTTCGTGAAAATGGCACTGATGGTTGAACCACCGTCTGCTCATACTCTGAAACCACTTGTTTGACGTTTCTACGAGGTGCTGGAACTGGAAACCTCCTGATGGGTCTAGGTTTGCGGTCTCAGGAGCTTGCATCTTTCGGATGATAGAGATAAGCTCAGATTTTGATCATTTTCCTAAATTTTGATTGCTTATAATATTGGTATAGATAATATTTCTCACCATTATTATACAAATTTCATATCTCTTTAAGCCTTGATCAAACATTTTGGCTTAAAAGTTAGTTATTTTATACAATTATAATACCTAAGATTGTTCTTATTATTGATGAAGAAAAATACGCTCTTTACTATTATTATAATCTATACTGTGCATCAAAAGATGGTAAAATTATTCATCTTCCCAAAGAGGAAGAATTTGATAGCGAGAAACATTAAATTGGATACGTGAAATGCTCTGTTAGAAGACGGGGGAGAAAAAAGTGACCGATTTGTTTACGTTTACTGAAGCGGAACTATGGCTCGAGGGAAAAGTGATAGATCGTATTAATGATGATAAAACAGGCAATCGATTGAAAAATTTACAGCTTATGACTCAAAAAGAAAATAGTAAAAAGGAGCAATGAATTATTGTGGAAATTACGAAAGACAGTCTGTTGTATCGCAACGAGTTAGTTTACGTATTGTGTTGGTCTGATAGCAGCTGGTAAGGATCTTCAGATTGTTGCAAAAAGCAAAAAATAAAGTAAAAGTCGATGATGCACCAGAAGAATAAGACAAAATTAGAGAATGAAATCTGATGAGAGTAACTTACTCTCATTAGATTTTATTCTTTAATATTTTTCTAACTTTTGAAAAGTTGGCACAAAATAATGTCAGTGTTTAAGATGTTACAAAACGATGAAAAACAGAAATAAGTATTATATCACAATAAGATTTTCAAGAGAACAAAACCAATCATGTATTCTTATTTACCTAAAAGTGATGAATTGAATTATAATTTAATTTAATTTTTTAATCTAATTTAGTCAATTTTCAATGCATTAAGTTTTTCAGTGGGGAAGGACTAGAAAGGAACATAGGAACCATTCGTGTTAGTCCACCGTCCCACCCATCCCACCCCACGGGAGGACATCCATCACACGGTAATCTCGTGTGTGGGAAATTAACGTCTCCTACCCCAATAATGCTTTCAAACTTGATCCGCCAACATGGTGGTTATGATATTTATCAACCACAAGCTAACCTCTATCGTTAGAGTTCAGCTTTTATCTCTTTGTTTCAAAAATGAAATTCTGTCTCAGTAATAGCTTGTAAGTCTTTTTTTCATCGTTCATTACTTTGTTTTTATAGATAAACGCAGCTTTACCTTCATAGATTGCAATGATATGCAATTTTTTTGCTGAACAACATTATTAAGTTCTGCTTCAATCTTTTGAACACAGAACAACAGTCACTACTTTCATTTTCCATGACAATATCTTTCACATATTATTTGATTATATTAATTCCACAACAGACAATAAGACCAGAAATTTACACTATATGGATCTAAATAAGTTACCCTATTATTCTTGTTTCTAATACCTCTGGCTCTCTTTTTGTATTTATGTCTCCGTTTCATATCTGTATGAATAGCGAGGTCTTCATATCTGATGTCACCAAAATGTATGTCTGCCGCTTTTCAGTGATACGACATATTTCTTGTTCTTCTTATCACTGTAATCCAGATCTTTGGCATTATAAATGTTCTTAGCGGTATGCTTAAACAGCTTGAAATCTTCACCGTGTAAAACGTTTCCTTTCTAATAGATCAATGGATTCTTTTATTGGTATCCAGCTGCTGAGATCATCATCCTAACCATTCCACTTTACCGATGCTTGTTTCTTTTTATAATCTCTTTTGACTACTTTAGCAATTCGGAATATCTCTTTTGCTTTCAATAGCTCAGGCTAGTAGAAACTCCCTTTGATGTCTTCATTATTCAAGTCCGTTGTTCTGTAAGTTATTGGATTAGTGTATTGTATCTTATCAATGGTGAACATCCCTTCAGTCCAGTTTGGTGTATATCCTTCGTCGAATGTTTTCCTTTTGTATTTTGATATTCTGACCTTATACCCGATCTTCAATTTAGGTTTTAATGCTCTTTCTTCATCATGATACAGATTTAAGTAAACAATATATTCGTGTTCTTCTTTTTGCTTGCCTCTCATTGGTGTCTGTTTCATTGTTGTAGTTAATTAATATTACTGTCACAATATAAAGATACTGAGTGTTACCTTAAACAGTTAATTGCTTCAACATTCTATTTTTATCGTACGGTTCCACCTCTCAACAACGGAAGATTTCTCTTCATTTCCTGTTGAATATATTGTTATCCCATTCTCATCCGATCATTCTTTCAGACGCTTATTATAGAACTCCTTGCCTTTGTCTACCCAAAGATATTCCGGCTCTCTACCTTACTTGAAGCTACTCTTGAATGCTTCCAGCACAGTTTCACCATTTTTTTGTCTTTCAAAGGAATGATCCAGCCATATTTACTGAATGCATCAATCACCATAATAGGTACTTATAACCTTTGTTCCATCTGCTAAATTGTTGCATGTCGACTAGATTTGCTGCCCAAATTTCATCACTGTTATTGACAGCTCCTCGCCGTCGAGTGAAAAATCTCTATCGGCTTATGAGACTCATCAGCTAATTGTTGTTGCCGATTTATTTTCTCACTCGATGGCTTCTTACGCGTTTTTATACACCCTAATCCTAATTTCTGTTTTGCGTTGATGACATTGCTTTCCGCAAAGTGGCCCTATTGTCTGTCTTTATGAGATACAGTATCATGTGCTGCTACCATCTTTCTATAAGCCTCATTCTTACACTTTCCATCATTCTTGCACACACTATAATCTACATCATGCTGAATTGCAATAGCATCTGTTGGTCCATTTGGTTGATCATATATTTCGAGTATTTTGCCAGTATGAAAGCAATCATCGCAGAATGAGCCTTACTTATGTTGCCGTGAAAATAGGGTCTGAAAAAAATTCAGGCCCTTACGGAAATCGAACCCATGACCTCTGCGATACCGATGCAGTACTCTACCAACTAAGCTGACAAACCAACTGGGAGCTGGTCATTCTGTTGGTTCATATTAAACCTGTCGAAGTGATAAATAAATGAATTTGAATACAGGGAAATCATATATGTATGCGACTAAAAAATCTGAATAACTACTATCTGAATGTATATCTTTTGAACTCATGTATGCTACCATAGTAAGTGAAAAATATTATTTGGATCCATAATACGGTTACCGTATCATGGAAATAGAAGATAGCGCAAAAAAATTAACGCAAAGATATGGCGAAAAATTTGGAAAATGTGCCAGAACCCTCAAACCACTAACTACTGCAAGCCATTTTGATAAATTTAATGGCCGGTTGTTGTTGCGTAGATTAGCTGTGCTGACCGATAATAAACCATACGATTTTGTAAAGCATTGGTCGGAACTTGAGAAATGAAGTAATGTAATGACACTTTTCGCCTTCACGCACATCAAATTGTGCCAAAACATTGCTGTACCTTAAATTTTCCGTTAATTTCATCCTCGGCAGTGCTTAAAATCAGGCCTTTCGGGGGTGAACGAAGTTCTTAATTGAACGCTGGTTTCTCGATGAACATGATAATATATATTCTTCTTTTGTCGTTTTCAGCTCAATTCTGGAACATGGGTCTTCTATCTAAAGGATGTCCCCTGTCGTGGTCTGAAACAAAACAACATAGAGACGAAGATCGTAAACACGGCGTTTTGCAATTTCTCCACATTTACAACAGAGAGAAAGACAGAGACAGGGATTGTTTGAGATGGGGAGATGAGGTAACTTGGAATTGACTTTACCAGGGAGAAAAAAACATTACAAGCTTTGATATGCTAGGTTGGATGGCGTTAGTTGCAAGCGTTATATAATGTTACAGTGCCTGGTGTCAGCAAGAACAGCGCTTTGTGAGCCTTGATTTCCTTACCTTTTCCTAACTCTTCATATTTGCTTTTGAACCAGTTAATTGCTTCTGCAATTTGGAATAGACAAGGTAAAGTAAGCTCTAAATGATGAAACTAAGACGGGCTGATAAAAAAACTGCCTGTAGGCGTAAAGTCACTTCTACACGCGCAGACCTGTTACAGGTGAGGGAGACGTCACCTTTGAAATCATTCCAATTATTATCAGTAGGCTGAAGCTATTTCCAAATTGACAAAAACTATTGACCTAAGCGCTACCCTTTACGAAAACAACGTAGTTAGCTAAAAAGTTAGATTTAAGATAATACTCCGGCACGTTTTTCATTAATTGATAACGGTGAAGTATTGAAATAATTTGATTCTGAATTTTATGCCACAGATGGAGTATACAGTGTTGAAGTTTGACCATGACAACAGGAAAGTTTACTGCAATTTGAGGGCAAAGGATGTACTAAACGATTTGGCACTCTTAGAACAGCAGACCAGGTAGAGGCAAGACTCACTGAAATCGAATTCTGAATCATATTCTTTTTGGTCCATGTACTTTTCAAAAGGAGTCACTGTACATGCGATGGTATTTACTCAGCCAGTGGTATGTTCCGGTCTTTTGCTCTCTGGCTCCCCACAAAGAAACAGAGTTCGAGGGCCATCTTAGATTTTCAAGGGATAGAAATCTTTGAAAGAAGTTTGATAGAAAATTCTTCTTGTAATTTTTTCTGAAATTAATATTTCACTATTGCTGTCGTGTATTTTTTGTTGTTGTTGTTGTTTGTTTTTGTTTCGTTTTCTATGTTTTGACACTGTTATTTAGTTCATTTATGTTCTTAACGTTTTGTGTATTTTTTATTTTTTTTTTTTATTTTTTTTTTTTTGCAGCACCTACCCAATTTCTTGGAGGCCTGAATATGCTGCTTATGTGATTGAAGGTGTTACCTAACACTAACGGATCATTAGACGAAAATATAAAGCCTTACAGGACCACTGACTACCACGCATCATGGTTTTATCAAAACGGAATGATCGAGAATTATGAAACCTATCTAAGCGAGAAATGTGCAGACCACTTTCCTAACTTCAAAAGAGAGTTATATCATATTTATATTTTTTCTCTTTGTATTTTGTATAGCATCACCAGGGCAGCCAATGGAAGAAAGTCTGGCATATCTCAACATAATAGAATTGAACATGAGATTAAGGTAATGGCCCATTTTACAGTCGTGTGCCTGGCTGCTAAGCCTTTGTAATGATGAAAGAGTTGCTATCTTCCAAACGGAGATTACTTTGTGATCATGCTAACTAAAACTTTTCCCTAGCACAATAAGGTCACCTGCGGCCTCACTCCAAATCAAAAGCTTGGTAACTATTTACACAACTGTACAATGGCCTATTACGACAGAAGAGTGAAGTAAAAGCAAATCTGGGTCACTCTTCAGTCTGTCAGTATGTTGGCCAGTCGATAATTCTTTTAGTCTTTCAGTCTGTTTGTCTGTCCGTCTGTCTGTTTGTCTCCTACCCAGCCATTCGTCAGCTGGTTAATCAGCCTTTCTTGCTATTTCAACGAGTCTAAATGTCGGTTAGTCAGAGTCTCTGTGGCTCAATATTACCGTACGCGGGAGGGTGCAGAATACGAAGGTCTCTCATTCGAATCCTCAAGGGGACTCGGATTTTTTCCTTTTCCTCATGCCCGTGACGAGACGAAAACATTCTTTCTCAATTGTCTGCTTGTAACTCAATCAGTAAATAACTCCATTCCAACAACTCAAATATCCACATATATATATAGGGACCGGCCTCTGTCGGCTCGCTCCTTGCACACGAACTGTCAACCAATGAGAATGTCGATGACTTTTTTTCTCAGTTTTTCTGCGTCTTACTTTTATTATAACAGAACCAAAGTAAAGCGCGCGCTCTGAATGGTCAATTTAGCGTCCCCCATTTGCCCATCGGTGTACGCTGCTGACGTGAGCAAATGCAAAGAATATTTTCCGCGCGCGATTGTTTTTTCTGGTCACGTAAGATTTGTTAAATAAAAGGGAACTCTTTAGCTACAATGTATCAATGTTATGTTATAAAACAAATGGTAAACACCACAGCGTACACTATTGAGTTATGGATGCACTTGGGAGGTTTGCTAAGCACTCAAGAAGCTAGAGTCGCTCTCGGCTATCGCCTCGAGCGACTCTTACGCTTCTTTCGTGCTTAGCAACCTCCCGCGTGCATCCGTAACTCAATAGTGTACGCTGTGGTGTTTACCATTTGTTAATTCCAGAGGTTTAACATAATTATTTCATTAATATCGATGAATTCATGAACTTCAGGTTAGTTTTTCCGTTGTCAGCTTTTGTCTTTGACTTTATTCTGCTTTTAATTTTTTCTTCTTTTTTTGCCAACAGACGTGAAGAAATGAAGAGATTTTTGACCGAACCTGGAGAAACTGTTCAGTCTATCGTGGCATTTCCAAGGTATGATCAGAAAAGAGTCCCGAAAACACTGCTAGAGATATTTTAATAGTCTCAGTTTAAAATTTAATGTAAGATCAAACAAATGTTGATGTGGGCTTCTTTTCTTAAGGTGCAAAATAAGAATACAACAGCCACTGTTCAGAATAAAAGTGCTTTCTTACTAAGTAGGACTAAAAACTGCAGCTGAACATTTCCCAACGAGCACAGCTAAATACAATGTGAACAGTTAGAGAGGAAAGAAGTGGAAGTGTCTCGACCGGCACATACATTCCCAGAGCACGTATTCAATCCTGATATTTTTTATAACTCGTAGATGGAATCACAAAAACCGACTTAAGGTTAATTTATGGACGTATAAAAATCATCTTACGCGTGGTGAAACTTAAGAGCCACTGACCATAAATATCGTGAATACGCCGACAGTTGAGTCTCCAACTTTTCTTAACTTGGACGCGCCGCTTATGGTGGGCTAAGACAGGCAATTGGAGGAATCAATTAAACTACAAGGGTTAGTACTAATCTTTAAAGTTCTACAGCAGGGTTATCCCCTGCGAAAAACATTCGATGATCATTTTTCTTTGAAGTAGTAATCATAGCTACATTTACTTGTACGGAAACTACTCACAGCGTTTATAACAAAAAACGTTACCAACGTAGCATTCAAACTTACGACATTTTTGACAGTTTGCCCTATATTTTCGCAGTTGATTTCTAAATGAAATCAAAAACGAAAAATAAAAAACAGTGTGGAACAAACAAACAAGCAAATAAGCAGATTAATATACATATTTAAAAAATTAACAAGGCGTCTAACAAAAACAAAGTACATTTCAAGTATCTATCTTAACGTGTAGATAATGGGAAATGCTTTTCTTTTCAGATTAGGATGCCCAGATTTACGTTTCCAAATTTTAAACCGACTCCGAATAAAGGATTTTCCTGTTCGTTATTTTACCCTGATCAGGCTGTCTGTCAGAGTGTTCCCAGATTTGGGTAAGCGAAAACGAGCTCAAAGAGGGAGGCGTATGTTTGTTGGCTTATAACAAAGAAAAGGGTACATGACAACTCTCTGGGCACAGCAAATGTTTGTAAAAAATATTTGGCTCGAGTTCACGACGTACGGACCTCGCTGTGCTCCGTCCGTACTTCATGACTGAGAGCCACGTTTTTTTCCAGATTTGGGTAAGAAAAGCGTATGCTTGTTGGCTTCTAAAAATGACATTAGTATGTGTTAACTCCCTGGGCACCGCAAATATTGGTAGAAATCTGGTTGTCTAGGATTATTCGAGGGCTGCTGCTTCGTTACACCAGTAACAGGCTAAATAACGTATCGTCAAATGATCAGTTTATAGACTATTAGAAGAATTCAAGAATGGATCCAGAAAGGGGAGGGGAAGGTGGATTAGCCCCACAGGCTATTTAACAATTAAATCATGCGTGAGCCAGAAATTTCTATCACGTGATAGATGATGAGGGCGAAGTCCAAATCTGCACGCTTATATGTTACTTACTTTTCTCACTTCCAATACGCCTTTTCACAGTTGTGTACTTAGTTGCCAAGCCTTTCATTTGGAGTGAGGTTAAAGGTGACCTTTTTGCGACAGAGACCAGTACCTAGTTAACATGATAACAAAGTAATTTACATTCGAAAAACAGCAACGTTTGTATCATAACAAGGTCACCCTTAGCATCACTTCTATTCAACTTGGCAACTAAGCAAGCAATTGTAAAATGAACTATTTTACAATTATTCCACGAGCGCGCGTTGGATATGAGATGATAGATAGCCAACTCCGCGCTACGCGCCTCGTTGGCTATAATCATCTCATATCCAACAAGATAATTTGGATATATCAACAAAGTTGAAATGGTAAATTGGCCACCGTAACGATTACAAAAGCTGACGTTTCGAGCGTTAGCCTTTTGTCGGAGCGAAAGTTCCTACGAAGGAAAACTTTTATTTCCTTACCCCCACCGACGCAGCCCCAAGCAGTTTCTTTAGAAACTATCAGCCTTTATTCATATCCAACAAGCACGAGTGGAATAATTGTTTAATTAAATGAAACACCCCTAAGATATTAGACAAATCTTCTCGACTTTATTTTGTTGGAAGAAACTGGATATTATAATGTACAGATATTAGATTATGGTATATAAGCTCATATAACATAATGGCTGAGCCAATAAAAAGTCTTGGATTGCACTATTCAATGATCCAGTTTCTAATGATACGGAATGGAGAGCGAGTTACGTTGCGAATCAGATTGCTGCTTTTGTGATTGAATGCTAGAACATTTATGGTTACAAAGTGTACTTGGTATCGTCCAACTTTTCCCGCGGATGGGGCTCAAAGGTATTCCAGTTTATCTAGTTTTTGAGTACCTTTTTTCGCATGATTATTCTGCGTTTTATGTCTTTGTTATTCTCGTCAGCTCGGTGACTCAAAACATTCGAGAAAGAAGAGGTTCAAAAGTTGCTATCAACGTACCAAGTATGTTATTTCCTCTGATTTGTTTTCTCTTTCAATTTGTTGTGTAATTTTTATGAAAATTTTTCAAAAAAATAGAAAGCGTATGTGGCTTAGTCCAAAAACAAGTTGTAACAAATATAAAATTTAATTATATTTGTTCCTCAAGTTCAAACAGTTAAGTTGTTGCTAACAGTTGCACCGACGTGGTTGCCAAACATTGATTAAAATTGTTAAATATTTCTACGGAGTTGTTCATTTCTTTCTGACTTTTTTCTGTCACTTTCCAGTATTCAAAGACTTAAACACTCCTTCACCTTTTATCGAGACGTTTCCTACTATTGACAGAGAAGGAGCAGAGGCCGCTTTGCCTGATCACATCTTTATGGACGGCATGGGCTGTGGCATGAGTTTAGGATGTCTTCAGGTACAAAATACACTAGGCTGAGAGTAAATTCAATAAACAAAATACTCACGTTGCTTTTTTTTTCTTGGTTGGTTGGCAAGTCATTCATTGGTGGCATAAGAGAATGAATTACGAGTCTTACTGAAAAAGTCACTCGGAAGAAATTTTCAGCTTCAAATGAAAGAAAGAATGATAAAGGAGAACGTTCAACGTCAGCCCCAAGTGATTTTAAGTGAATTGGTAACAATGATTTAAACTCTTTTTCTTCAAGAATGTTTTTAAACCTGAAGGGAAAATCGCCCAAGCGATACAGTGCAACACTAATGTCAGCTTTATCGCCTCAATTTAAGATAAAATGTAAAATGAAAGACCTTACAAAAACACAAAGAAGGAATAAAATAGCTGCATACATGCAGCCATAAAGACTGCTATTCTTATTTAGCAATTAATTCAGTATTTTAGTTTGAAAAAAATCAACATATAGCCTAAACCATATGCACCTGGTAATCATGCAATTTTTTTAAGTGTCGACTAAAGGTCTAGCAGATTCTTATTGCAAAGTGCAAAGGTCGAGGGATATTTTCGTTTAAATCAAAAGTTCACCCTTCAAGCCTGCAACCTAAGTGAAGCAAGACTTCTTTACGATCAACTCGTGGCGTTGAGTCCAATAATGGTAGGTTAAAATGGCCCTGTTGCTTTTTAAAATCACATTTAAAAACTCTTCGAAGCAGGTTAAGTTAATGGTGCTGAATAATCCCAGAAACGCAGCCTGAGATAAATAATTATTTCAGTATAATTGTCTGTCCATTGATTATCAGAGCAGAAAGGCACATTCTATTCGATTTCTTTGCCCGCAACTTGTACTTGGATTATATTTCACTCAATTAGTAAAACGTCGTATGTTTCCTCTGCAAAGTGTCAAGCGAAAGTTAGTTGCATCCTTTTCATTCTTCGGAATTGCAGCAATTTCACTCTTTCCATAAGTTTAATTGTAAACTTTTTAAATCGTTAATTAGTTAGCTTTGTCTGCTGGGGCTCCCATAATACGCGGATACCTTTCCGACGTAGATTGCCGTTGGAATATCATCTCTGAGGCATCAGATGATCGAACTCCTGAAGAGAGAGGCCTTGCGGTAGGTTTTCAGAATCAATCAACCCTTTATCTATTTATCATTTTTTAAACAGGAGTTTTGAACTGGGATAACCAGTGGTGCATGCACAATGGCCAGTGGAAATCAGTCATGATCGAGAGGTCCTTGTCGAAACCTTTGTTCACAGGCGGAGTCTATCGTATCTTCGCTTCCATTTGATACGTTAAAATGAAGGGGTTGTTTGTTGTTTTTAATGACTTCAGTATAATATACCAAACGACATGCATGCACAGACCTTTAAAACTTAATTTTTTCGAGATGAACTACGAAGGCGGTAAACTTCCCAACTCGGATGTCTGATAAATAAAGTCGATTTTCATAGAGACCTTTTTTTTTCACTCGACTTCTTGATCTTAACAGTGTTCAAGACATGTCTTGCACACAAGTGTATGCCACTGCTCTTTAAGGCGTCCTACGCTGCATAGATAATAGACCATCTTACCGGGAGATAAAAAGATTCGAATACTGAAAGGCAACCTCTCTTTCCTCCTGTTAAGTATTTGTTTTCTTTTTCACAGCCACTAAAGGAAAATAGATTTGTGATACCTAAGTCACGATTTGACTCCGTGAGTACATATCTGTCACCGGAGGGGAAAGATTACAACGATATTGACTTAGTGTATGACCAAGATGTTTGCCAACAGCTCATCTTCGCTGGTAAGTCCTACAATATGGCATCAACGGAACGCGTTGAGGATACGTTTAGAGCGATGCAAATCACCGCACCTTTAAATATAGGTCCTACACTGCCCCAAAAAGGATTTTTGTTGCCCATTTTCACAGTAATTAAGTTACTTTGGAAGTTAGTGGGTACAAAGTGGTTTTACGTGGCATCAGAACAGATCCCGAAAACATTTAACAACGAACACTATAACACATATCGGCAGGTAATACACTTTGAAGGCTTCCCTGGTCACCTTATTACTCCTATTTTAACTCTATGTCATTTAAAACGTCTTAAGTACTTTTTTAGGTTAAATTTGCTGAACATAATTTCTCCGATACTCTAGGCGTTGACGAGCAGGTGGCCCGGCATGTCGCACACTTGTTCATCCGGGATCCTGTGACTTCTCTGTGCCTTGAAGACCTTGAACAAAATGACGAGGAAACCTCCTGTCTCTTTGAGGTAAGTTTTGACATCACTGAACATGACAGAAAAACCCACACAAAAATCCTTCAAGTCAAAACATTCTCTCGCCATCACAGACCTACTATTTCAAACATTTAGATTTGCTATAGTGTAACTTGTAATCCCAAACCATAAAGAAGCAAAGGTATTGTTTCCTGCTGGTATATCATTAATCAAAATTATGCTCATCATTACTACATTCCCTATGTAATTGATCTTGCGTAATTTGATTATTTTTATCTTTATCAAAACTGTAACAAAATTTTCGAACATGATCGGTTATCACCAGGCTGATTTAAGTACTAACAGGAAAGCGTGCGTGTCATGCTTGCAATCGAATAACGTAGGTGTCATGCCTGTATAATTGGACATGTGCGCGCTTTTGTCGCACATTTTGTCAAAGTGCTTTTGTCTCTTACGAAAACTTTTACCTGATCACAAAGTTTTTCCTCAAATTTGTTCATAGTTTTAATTTATTGGTAACAGAAATACCTGCCTTCCAATTCTGTCTCAAGACATACTCTAAATGACATTTTGTTCATTATATCACTCCTATGACTATAAACCGACCAAATTGGACCCCACTCAATACTTTCACTCAGTTTAATTTTATGCATGCAAACTTTTTCTCTTTTCTCAGAGGACAGTGGGCGTTGTTGTAGTGTTTTCCTAACGCTGGATCGACAAGAAACGCTAGCCTATGAAAATCCCAACGCCTTCTTTCCTTAAAATCAAGGTGTCTACTGGACTATTATCTTAGAGCTATTTCATTCAGGAGCATGCAAGGAATTAAAGCGAGTCTCTTTTTACTCAATCGCTAAAGCTGGAGACAATCATGACGGTTTTATACGCCGATCGTGAGGATGGGCGAAAATCTACAGCTTTGCCCAATGCGGTGATCTAATATGCCACATAGTGGCCACGATCGGTGGATAGAATCACTTGAAATGGATGAAATATAGGTTCCTAATATAGGTTCCTAATTTCCTTTTTTTATTCATCAGAACATAAATTCCGCCAACTGGCAAACTGTGCGTTTTAAGCCACCACCGCCTGATTCCTCCTCAATGGGATGGAGAGTGGAGTTCAGGCCCATGGATGTGAGCAGATGAAATTTCTTTGCTTGTTTCTTCATGCGTTGTTTTTCTTTGTTTGTTTGTTTTTGGGATTATTAGGGAACTATGATCAGTTAACAGTTTGTCTTCTCTCGTCTCAGGACCAAGAATTTTTCTAGGCCAAACAGCGATAGATTATTTTTTGCTGCCATATGATATGAACTACGGAAAAGTTTATGGAGTATTTGGTCTCATGATGCTGTTATCTGATTGTTAGATTCAATTGACAGACTTCGAGAATGCCGCCTTCATAACATTTGTGATACTTCTCACGAGGGCGATTTTGTCTTTCGATCTCAATCTACTCATTCCTATATCCAAGGTGAGACATTAAAGATGTAAAGTTCCAGGGGAGAGAGGGAGGGGTTGGTAAGACGGAAACGCCTGTTGGCTGGTGTTCTGAGCTATAAACCGAAAGGTCAGGCTAGGAGCCATTTCGGGTCATCGCGACGTGGTCTTTGTAGTGTGTGTGCTTAGGGGACATACCATTTCCCACCCCTCCACCCCAGGAGTGTCAAAAAGGGCAATACACTATCGAGGAAATTGAATGCATTGCCAATTTGTCAGAGTGCCGGAATGCTCCACCATCCCTTGCAGGAGAAATAGCAGTACCCAAACAGAACGGTCGCTTCAATCGATGAAAAAGGAAAAGTTCCGGTGTTAATGGATCTGAACAGTAATCCTTTCTAATGTCTGAACTAGTTTCTCAGAATTTCAGATTGAAAACTTATTGATGTTGCAAGGAAAAATTGCCCGGAGCGGAAAGGCTATAAAAGAAAGGTTATCCCAGTTATGACTCCCCAATCATTATAACTACATAGCGAGTTCATGTTTTTTTTAATGCCGGTGCCCCATCGGTAAAACGCCTGGAATTTGCTCAAGTTCGACATGAATATTAATCTTTAGACAAGAGACTGCGCAGTTCTAAGTCCAAGTAACCCAAAAATTGTTCGTTCTCCTCCGCCTTATTTTGAGGCTTGTCTTCTTACAGTTAATTTCAAAATATGAAAATTTGGTAATTGAGCAAATGACGCGAAAAATTATGTTTTTAACAGCCATCATCGAACGTAGACTGTTCATTGTAAAAAGCTTACAAGAAACCTCGCAATTCCTTAAAAATAACAGGAATGTAGTCATTTTTACCTCATCATTCAGTGTTCCAAGAGGATTTCTATTGTTTTGTTTATATTTGACTAGTTCCATTTATATTTTCGCGCTTCCGGTTTCTACTCTATTCCCGCAGGTCGACGAGAATATGGTCAAAGCGCAAAAGAGAGACGCTGCCAGACAGGGAGAGTTTCATTTCAGGAAAAATTTAAAGAAATGTAAGAAAATTTCAAGTTTCAGTTTCTTTATTCTTTGATTCTTCGAGTTACCAATGTAACAACATTTTAGTTTCGGCCAAGAGTATTTGCAAAAAATAATGTTTTAGGTAAATGTGAGTGTTTCATCGTATTTATATATACTCTGCACCACTTTTATTCATGAGCTAATAAAAAAAAAAAAAAGCGTGTTATTTTGTCTCCCAAAGGTGATACTATGGAAGAGGCTGAGAATTGCCAGAACGACGACCTGTATTGTGGCGGAGAATTTGAGATGATGTCGATTGACAGAATTATCAACGGCAAGGTGAGCAATGATGGGGAGAAAAAGATGTGAGAAAGACAAGGACTGCCGTAGGGATTACCAGAAACGGTCAAATAAGCACTCTAAGTATTCTATTTCTATTTTGTGCGAGAAGAGAGCGTGCTAACTTCGTACCCACATCCTACCGTTTAACTGTAATACGATCACTTGCCCGTGAAAGGACTGGGCACGAGACCAGGTTGGGGCGTAGTTGAATCTAATTAAGTGTTGATCGGATCCGGTTATTTCCTCTCGTAAATGCATCTGAGATCAAATGTTTTGCACAAAACAGACTGACCCTAAGCTGGTAAATAAACGTTTCATACCTCTTTCGCTGACACCCCTTTGGTCGCACGCGGAAATTTTCTTTTCTAACAGAATTTTGTTAACGCAAATGTATCATTGAAAGGGTTGCATTTGGCGCACCATTCATAATTTACCAAGTCTAGAACGATACCTTACTCAGAGAGTTTAACACCGCAAGATATTATTTACATTACAGCCAATCAATGTCACACTCTAAGAGCTGCAAAAAACCATTGCAAAATTTGTTACTGTCTTCGCTGTGGAAAAATGATTCATTTACTTTTTGCGTTATCCTCACATATTTATGTCCTCTATTTATATCTTCAATTCAAGCATTATGCCTTGTTTCATCAAAACCAATGAGGTATGAGTTAATGGTACTCTTTACTTGATGCCTGATTCATCACTTTACAGGATGGCGAATTTCCTGGTTTGATACCACTCATAAACCGTTACCTGGCGACAGTGGAAGTCGACCTTAACACATGGTGCACTCTTTCTCAATATTTGAACTTGATCTCCAAAAAGGCATCTGGTAAGTTAATTGCATAAGAGCTTTACACTCCTTCCCTCCTAAGCATTTCTTTACTGTTTGGTCAAGAAGAAATTCTAACAACAGTTCATGGTATTTTTCAAGATGCCACGGTCACCTGCTTCCCTAATCAACTTTTGAAAGGAGAGGATTTTACCCCAGGAAACGTTTCCCCTCCTAATAAAGCTAGCATTTTTTTTTTTGTTGTTGTTGTTTTTAATCATCGTTTTACCCTTTCCTCAAGGTGAATTACTTACAACTGCTCAATGGATTCGGCGATTTGTGGAAAGTCACACGGAATACAAGAGAGACTCTGTAGTCGACGAAAGAATTTGTTACGATCTTTTGAGAAAAATCGATCAAATTGGCCAAGGAGAGGGTGAGGCGCCTGAACTCTTTGGAAAGTTCACCACTTTTAGGATGGGTGACGCTTTATTTTAGAAATATCTTGATGTAAATGGAAAGATTAAAAGCTATGAGGATGACTAGAAAATTAGACACGATAACTTGGTGATGTGCAACAGTTTAAAAAAATATTGTCAAGATTGTAAACATCGCTAACACAATCGTAGTTTACTGACTACTATACTATGTGTGTCTATCATCTCTATCTCAATCAGTTCGTCGATGTTCATTGAAGTTCACTCCTTTAAAAGTGTTAACTCTCATTAAAATCTATTGGACAGACATTGTATGACTCTGTTCAGAATGAAACAGATTAATAAACAGTACGTTCATTGAAATTCCGTCTTGATCGTTCGCTGGCCATGAGACAAGTTCGACTTCCATAATCCTTTTATTTTTTCTATAATATTTTCAAACTGTTCAACGATTAAAAACATGATTAATCTATTACTATGACAAGTAGGGTTAATGTTTAGGTTCATTAGGGTAGGGATGGGTGCACTGTTGCTTAGATACTGATATTAATGGTTACCAGTGTACAAAGAAGATCTGTCACAAAAAGCGATCTCAGATACACACAGTATCGTTCATAGATACCTATAGTACCGTACTAGGTAAAACAAGACCGCATTTCTGTTAGTACTTACCATATTAACATATTGGTTTCAATAAATTGCACCACATCCAGTGACCATTCCTTATTTAACCGTGAAGAAGGAATTCTAGGGCGCCCATTGATTGAGAGCCATTGTCAATCAGGATGAGATCATATAAATAACATAACATGTGACCGCAAYG